TTTGGGTTGCCACGCCTTGCGATGGATGTGCGTGAAGGGTGGCGCCGAATTTCAGAAATGTGGCAAATCCTTTGTGCTTTTGGACCCTGACCCCGCGGGTCTGCGTGAGGGGTGGCACCGAATTCCTGAAATGTTGCAAATCCCGTGTGTTTTTGGACTCTGATCCCGCGGATCTGCGTGAGGGGTGGCACCGAATTTCAGAAATGTAACAAATCCCTTGTGTTTTTGGATCCTGACCCCGCGGATCTGCGCGAGGGGTGGCACCGAATTTCAGAAATGTTGCAAATCCCTTGTGTTTTTTGACCCTGACCCCGCGGATCTGCGTGAGGGGTGGCACCGAATTTCAGAAATGTTGCAAATCCCTTGTGTTTTCGGACCCTGATCCCGCGGATCTGCGTAAAACGGTGGCGCCGAATTCCAAACATGTGGCAAATCCTTGATGTTTTTGGACCTTCATCCAGCGGATTTGCGTAAGGGGTGGCACCGAATTTCAGAAATGTGGCAAATCCTTTGTGTTTTTGGACCCTGACCCCGCGGATCTGCGTGAGGGGTGGCACCAAATTTCAGAAATGTGGCAAATCCTTTGTGTTTTTGGACCCTGACCCCGCGGATCTGCGTGAGGGGTGGCACCGAATTTCAGAAATGTGGCGAATCCTTGGTGTTTTTGGACCCTGACCCCGCCGATCTGTGTGAGGGGTGTCGATTTCGAGCCCCCCCAGCAATTCAGACAACGCGCCCAGGGGGTGCTAAAATGCTGGTTTGGGCCTCCCCCCCCCTCGCGCGGTCAATCAACTAGTTACAGTAACCAGCAATAAGCAGAACTGTAACACTGGAAACTACAAGCTACAACTGGTACAGGAAACTGCGAATCCCGCGCCTACAGCCTGGTGGCCCTACAAGGGGGCCGGCGGATTTGCTCACGGCCACGCATGTTGATGACATCAATATGGTCGGTATTGAGGACTCCATTGACAAATGTGTCAAATGCGTTGAATATACTTTTGACAAGTGTAAACTCAACACGCATACATATACCAACTGTGCTGTGAGATGCACCAAGGACGAGGACGGCAATGTCACTTTGGATCAATATGAATATATCAAACAACTCCGTCCTATACAACATCCCGAACGACGCTGACGCTCAGGCAACCAAGATGGTGGCAGACATGTTCGTCATCCTCAGGGGTGCGCTGGCATACGCACTAATCACCCAGGTGTGGTTGATGGTGTATGTTGTATCTCTACAACGTGTCCAAGAACCGACCAACATTCAAGTGCGACGACTGAACGCGATCACCAGCAAGCTGCAGGCCTGCCCGATGAAGATCATCAACCAGGCGATGAACCCCACGGGCGAGGTCGACCTACATAGCGACTCAGGATACCGACGCCTGAGTGGAGACGCCGATGACGACGTCAAAGGCTATGGTATTCGCGGGGCAAGCCTGCTACGACGTGGAAACACGTCATCTGGTAAACCTGTCGTTCGCCTGATTGATGCGTACTGCAAGTCTCACCGCTTACAGGTCCGCTCGAGTTATTCAGCAGAGACACTAGCAGCAACCCGTAATTTGGAGGACTGTTATCCCACGATTGTGACTCTGCACGAGCTCCACGCGGGGCCGCTCACGCCCACTCAGTTGAAATATATACTCGAGTTGGGTGGCCTGAGCATCAAGGTCACTTTGACCATCGATGCTGAGTCTGTTTTTAAGTCCGTGTCAAGCAAAGACTTGAAGAAGCCGACTGAATGTACCCTTTTAGGACACATCAGTTGGATACGACAGATGATGGAGCGTGGAATCGTGCACAGCATTCAGTGGTGTGATACCCGCGATATGACTGCGGATGGCCACACCAAGGGAACATCGACGGAGACATGCTCCTACAAGTCATGGGAGGTATAAAGACTTTCAAGCATGACCTGAAGAGGCATACTCCATATCGGGCCGGCCAGACATCAAGTTTTGACGCCGCCTGATGAGTACGTCACACACACACATATATATATATATATATATATATATATATATATATATATATATATATGTATATATATATATATAGCATATGTATGTGTATATATATATATATATATATATATATATATATATATATATATATGCGAGGTAACTTGCTAGCGGGTCCACATTCCTTTAGGCCCGCTTCCTTTTCGGGGCTTTGTGTATGTTAGCTGCTATGCCTGCTGTATAGGGGCGACGGGCTCACGCTTCGTCTCCCTTCCCCCCCGACGCCTTAAAGCGAGCTGAGGGACGGAAGGGGTGGAAGGGAGCGTGCGCCCGCGGCCGCGTCGGCTCAAGCGGCCGGCCGCCCAAATATGACTGTGCCCCACTGCGAGGCACACAATCGCTATCGAGACCAAAAGGGTCTTCCTATTGCTTGAGATGGCATTTCCTTTCATACTGGGACTATCGCTAATACGGTACAACACAGTTGGAGCTTGGCTTCGCCTGAGGCGAAGCTGTTGGCTGGGCCTCCCAGCCCCCGTCAAACTCCGCGACCCACCCTGCGACCCACCCGCGACCCATCGGCGACCCACCCGCGACCCACCCCGCGACCCCCCCGCGACCCCCCCCGCGACCCATCCGCGACCCCTCCGCGACCCACCCGCGACCCGCCCCGCGACCCACCTGCGACCCTTCCCGCGACCCACCCTCAAGAGGGGAAAAACCACCCGGACCCGACAATTGACGTTTACTGAATGGCCCTGGGCGTTGACTAAACAGCCCTGCCCTGTTCGATTCATTCTTTGCGTGTGTTTACTAAACGGCTTCGCTTGTCGGGGTGATTCTTATGGGGGGATTTTCTGCCTTCTACACCCGCGACCCAACAGCGACCCACCCGCGACCCATGTGCGACCCACCCGCGACCTATACCCACATTGGTTTCACGAAAAAATCGGCGCCTGCGGCGGGCTCGTTGCATAATTTGTGAAGTTTTGGCGCCTGCGGCGGGCTTCTCCAGAGTCTCGCAGACTGCCGACGTCCGCACCGCCCCCTCACTCTTATCCGCATCTGTGGGGGGCGACCTATCTAGGTCGTATAGTATTTGTCGTTCTAGGTCGCTTCTGTGTCGCAGTCGATCGTATGTGTGTCGCTGTAGGTCGCACCTGGATCGCCATAGGCTATAGGTCATATATGGTTCGCATTCGACTGTATCTTGATCGTTGTAGTTCGCAATTGTGTCGCAGTATATCGTATCTTCATCGCTCGCTGTAGGTCGCCTCCAGATCGCTGCAGATCGTATCCGGGTTGCAGTAGATCGTGTTTTTGTCGCTGCCGATCGTATCTTGATCGCTGCAGGGCGCTTTCGGCGGTGAGATGTTGACGATGCAGAGGTGTGTATTTCCGGCCATGCTGAAGCTTGGCCGGTGACTTGCAGTCCCGTGCGATGTGACCGAGCCCGCCGCACCTCAGGCACACGGATGTTCGGGTCCTTGTGCCTGTCCCATGGTGCGACGTCAGGTGGGGCTACACTTATGCTCGGGAGGGATGTTTTCGCGGGCCTCGGCATTTCCCAGTCTCGGGATGCGTACCAGCAGCTGCGCCTCGCCGAGAGGCGTCTGGGGGTGCCCGGATGGCCCGCGACGGCCGCCGGAGACCCGCGAGCCAGGCGACGAAGATACATTGGGGGGGAATAGGCTCAGGGGGTGGGGGGTGCATCGACCCTCAGTCGCCCATTCCACGCCGACGTCAGCCCGATAGCTCGCGCTGCCCAGGATCCTCGTCCTCCTCCTCCTCCTCCTCCTCTTCTTCTTCTTCTTCTTCCTCCTCCTCCTCCTCCTTCTCCTCCTCTTCCTCCTCTTCCTCCTCCTCCTCCTCCTCCTCCTCCTCCTCCTCCGCGATGTGTCGCCGAGCCCAGGTCGATGTTGTCCTCCCCCGCCGAGCCAGGTCCCCGCCCTCGCTGCCCGAGCCCGCCCGGGAGCGTGGGGCGCGGGCACGCGAGGTTTTCGGTCGGGCCGGTCCCCCCTACAGGGGGCTTTTGGACGACAGACCAGAAATGACCCCAAAAATATACCCAGAGATCCAGCGTAATGAAAAAATCAAGACGGAGGTGTTTCATATTTTTCGGCCTCGAGGGGCCCTCGCCGGGCCCCGGGACCGTCAACAAAAACGACTCAGGATGAGAAACCGGCCCCGAGGAAAGGGTCGAGACTTCTGGGGACCCCGCGTTGAAAACATCACGACGTCGGATCTCAGGGTACTCCACAAATGCTCAAGAATGATCCAGAACTCGTCCCCAGACTATTCTTGGACGATTTTTGACTGCTCCTCCTCTGGAGGCACCCGCCCGACTCGAGCGAAGCTGGAGGCCCCCGCTCCGCCTCCAGCCGCGGCCCTCCCCGGAGCACCGAGCGCTCCCGAGCAGCCCGCCCGCGCGCCCCCCTCGGCGGGCCCTCGGACCTCCCGGCCGTGCCCACGGAGGGGCGCCCTGGCGCTTGCGATCCAGAGGGTGCCCATCCCACGTCCACGGATGCAGAGGGTGTCCACGGCGCTCGTCCACACGCTCGTCCACACACACACACACGTCCACGGATACAGAGGGTGTCCACGTCCACGGATGGGCGCCCTGGCGCTTGCGATCCAGAGGGCGCCCTGGCGCTTGCGATCCAGAGGGTGTCCACGGATACCGACGCATCTGGGCTCCAGGGAGCCCCATGGCCGCTCGGAGGGGGGCGGCGAGAGCCGCGCGTCGCGCATCGCGGGGCGCGGGCACGCGAAGTTGGAGGTCCCCGCCTGCCGCCCCGGCTCGAGCCGTGGCCCTCCCCGGAGCCCCGAGCGCTCCCAGGAGCCCGCGCGCGCGCCCCCCTCGGCGGGCCCCAGGGCCTCCCGACCGCGCCCACGGATGGTCGCCGCGGGAGGCGAACACACGGTGCTGCATGAGAACGGCCAGTGCGCGTGGTGGCCTGAGCTACACGGTCGCGCCGGTGAGCTGCCGGCGGCACGTGGCCTTCGGGCTCGAATCGTCGCGGCCAGTGCGCCGTGCCGGCGCTGGACGGTGGCCTGAGCTACACGCAGGTCGCCGCCGGAGGCGCCCATACGGTGCTGCTCAGGAGCGACGGCACGGCCGTGGCCTTCAGCTCGAATGCCTGCGGCCAGTGCACCGTGCCGGCGCTGGACGGTGGCCTGAGCTACACGCAGGTCGCCACCGGAGGACGCCATACGGTGCTGCTCAGGAGCGACGGCACGGCCGTGGCCTTCGGCTGGAATGGTCGCGGCCAGTGCGCCGTGCCGGCGCTGGACGGTGGCCTGAGCTACACGCAGGTCGCCGCCGGAGATGCCCACACGGTGCTGCTCAGGAGCGACGGCACGGCCGTGGCCTTCGGCTCGAATGGTTGTGGCCAGTGCGCCGTGCCGGCGCTGGACGGTGGCCTGAGCTACACGCAGGTCGCCGCCGGAGGAGGCCACACGGTGCTGCTCAGGAGCGACGGCACGGCCGTGGCCTTCGGCTCGAATCCCTACGGCGAGTGCGCCGTGCCGGCGCTGGACGGTGGCCTGAGCTACACGCAGGTCGCCGCGGGAGATGCCCACACGGCGCTGCTCAGGAGCGACGGCACGGCCGTGGCCTTCGGCTCGAATGGTCGCGGCGGCCGGGATTTCGAGGGCGCTGGACGGGGCGCTGACGTACACCGCGCGCTTCGGCGCGGCGCTGCTCCTGCAGGCGTCGCTCGACGGCGGCGCGGTGCTCGGCCGGAAGGGAGCGGGTCCCGGGGGGAACGGGCCCTGGGCCCCGGGGCCGTCCCCCGGACCTTCATCCTGAGTCGTTGTCTGACAGTCTTGGGGCCCGTGGACGGCCTGCGGAGGCGAAGGTCGCAGCGGAACGCTGCAGGGGGCCCGGAAAGGGGCACCAACTCCAACGCAGGGGGGTTTGCCTCCACAGGGGGAAGGCGATCCCAGATTTCGGCGTTGGCGGGAACATTTCGGCCACCTCGGAAGCCAGGATATTACCACCATCGCCGAGCTCGGGCTCTTCTTCCCTCGGTGGCGGCACGCCGCCGGTTTGTTGGTGTTGGTGTCAACCTCTGGGCTCTAGGCCTGCGACACTGGATGACCCGTTCCCTTCCTGGCGAGGTGCGCTTCCTGACCCTGGGCGGGGTGGAGCGCTGCCGGGTGCGGGCGGCGCCCGGCGCGCCGCTCGCTGGCGTGCGCGACTGGCTGGCGGGCGAGCTGGGCGCGGGCAGGCTGGGCCCCGGGATCGGCCGCGCCGACGCGGCCCTGCCAGGCGGACGGCTCCTGAGCGGGGCCTCGGCGGGCGAGACCGTCGCGGACGCCTTCGGGTTGTAGGCATCGGGTCGCCGCCGTGCTTCGTCCTGGGCCCCGGGGTGTCGTCCAGGGAGGGGTGTTTTCGTGGGCCTCGGGATGCGTACCAGCAGCTGCGCCTCGCCGAGAGGCGTCTGGGGGTGCCCGGGTGGTCCCCGACAGCCGCCAGAGACCCGCGAGCCAGGCGACGAAGATACACTGGGGGGAATAATTAGGCTCAGACTGGGGCTCAACTGTGTCGCAGTATATCGTATCTTCACCGCTCGCTGTAGGTCGCCTCCAGATCGCTGCAGATCGTATCCGGGTTGCAGTAGATCGTGTTTTTGTCGCTGCCGATCGTATCTTGATCGCTGCAGGGCGCTTTCGGCGGTGAGATGTTGACGATGGAGGTGTGTATTTCCGGCCATGCTGAAGCTTGGCCGGTGACTTGCAGTCTCGTGCGATGTGACCGAGCCCGCCGCACCTCAGGCACACGGATGTTCGGGTCCTTGTGCCTGTCCCATGGTGCGACGTCAGGTGGGGCTACACTTATGCTCGGGAGGGGATGTTTTCGCGGGCCTCGGCACTTCCCAGTCTCGGGATGCGTACCAGCAGCTGCGCCCCGCCGAGAGGCGTCTGGGGGTGCCCGGATGGCCCGCGACGGCCGCCGGAGACCCGCGAGCCAGGCGACGAAGATACACTGGCGGGGAATAGGCTCAGGGGGGGGGTGCATCGACCCTCAGTCGCCCATTCCACGCCGACGGGAGCCCGATAGCTCGCGCTGCCCAGGATCCTCGTCCTCCTCCTCCTCCTCCTCCTCCTCCTCTGCTCTTCTTCTTCTTCTTCCTCCTCCTCCTCCTTCTCCTCCTCCTCTTCCTCCTCTTCCTCCTCCTCCTCCTCCTCCTCCCTCCTCCTCTTCCTCCTCTTCCTCCTCCTCCTCCTCCTCCTCCTCCTCCTCCTCCGCGATGTGTCGCCGAGCCCAGGTCGATGTTGTCCTCCCTAGCCGAGCCAGGTCCCCGCCCTCGCTGCCCGAGCCCGCCCGGGAGCGTGGGGCGCGGGCACGCGAGGTTTTCGGTCGGGCCAGTCCCCCCTACAGGGGGCTTTTGGACGACAGACCAGAAATGACCCCAAAAATATACCCAGAGATCCAGCGTAATGAAAAAATCAAGACGGAGGTGTTTCATATTTTTCGGCCTCGAGGGGCCCTCGCCGGGCCCCGGGACCGTCAAAAAAACGACTCAGGATGAGAAACCGGCCCCGAGGAAAGGGTCGAGACTTCTGGGGACCCCGCGTTGAAAACATCACGACGTCGGATCTCAGGGTACTCCACAAATGCTCAAGAATGATCCTCCTCTGGAGGCACCGGCCCGACTCGAGCGAAGCTGGAGGCCCCCGCTCCGCCTCCAGCCGCGGCCCTCCCCGGAGCACCGAGCGCTCCCGAGCAGCCCGCCCGCGCGCCCCCCTCGGCGGGCCCTCGGGCCTCCCGGCCGTGCCGACGGAGGGGCGCCCTGGCGCTTGCGATCCAGAGGGTGCCCATCCCACGTCCACGGATGCAGAGGGTGTCCACGGCGCTCGTCCACACGCTCGTCCACACACACACACGTCCACGGATACAGATCACGTCCACGGATGGGCGCCCTGGCGCTTGCGATCCAGAGGGCGCCCTGGCGCTTGCGATCCAGAGGGTGTCCACGGATACCGACGCATCTGGGCTCCAGGGAGCCCCATGGCCGCTCGGAGGTTGCCGGCGAGAGCCGCGCGTCGCGCATCGCGGGGCGCGGGCACGCGAAGTTGGAGGTCCCCGCCTGCCGCCCCGGCTCGAGCCGTGGCCCTCCCCGGAGCCTCGAGCGCTCCCAGGAGCCCGCGCGCGCGCGCCCCCCTCGGCGGGCCCCAGGGCCTCCCGACCGCGCCCACGGATGGTCGCCGCGGGAAGCTCCCACACGGTGCTGCTCAGGAGCGACGGCACGGCCGTGGCCTTCGGCTGGAATTTCGAGGGCCAGTGCGCCGTGCCGGCGTTGGACGGTGGCCTGAGCTACACGCAGGTCGACGCGGGACAAAACCACACGGTGCTGCTCAGGAGCGACGGCACGGCCGTGGCCTTCGGCTCGAATCACGCTGGCCAGTGCAGCGTGCCGGCGCTGGACGGTGGCCTGAGCTACACGCAGGTCGCCGCGATAAAATCCCACACGGTGCTGCTCAGGAGCGACGGCACGGCCGTGGCCTTCGGCGAGAATGGTTCCGGCCAGTGCGCCGTGCCGGCGCTGGACGGTGGCCTGAGCTACACGCAGGTCGCCGCCGGAGGAGAACACACGGTGCTGCTCAGGAGCGACGGCACGGCCGTGGCCTTCGGCCGGAATTTCGAGGGCTACGGCCAGTGCGCCGTGCCGGCGTTGGACGGTGGCCTGAGCTACACGCAGGTCGCCCGCGGAGGCGCCCCACACGGTGCTGCTCGGAGCGACGGCACTAGCGTGGCTTCGCTCGGAACCTCGAGGGCCGTGCTTGCGCCGTGCCGGCGCTGGACGGTGGCCTGAGCTACACGCAGGTCGCCGCGGGATTCGCCCACACGGTGCTGCTCAGGAGCGACGGCACGGCCGTGGCCTTCGGCTCGAATCTCGCCGACCAGTGCGCCGTGCCGGCGCTGGACGGTGGCCTGAGCTACACGCAGGTCGCCGCGGGATTCGCCCACACGGTGCTGCTCAGGAGCGACGGCACGGCCGTGGCCTTCGGCTCGAATCTCGCCGACCAGTGCAGCGTGCCGGCGCTGGACGGTGGCCTGAGCTACACGCAGGTCGCCGCGGGATTCGCCCACACGGTGCTGCTCAGGAGCGACGGCACGGCCGTGGCCTTCGGCTCGAATGACCTCGGCCGGTGCACCGTGCCGGCGCTGGACGGGGCGCTGACGTACACCGCGCGCCCGCTCGTCGGCGCGACGCTGCTCCTGCAGGCGTCGCTCGACGGCGGCGCGGTGCTCGGCCGGAAGGGAGCGGGTCCCGAGGGGAGCGGGCCCTGGGCCTTCATCCTGGGGCCCGTGGACGGCCTGCGGAGGCGAAGGTCGCAGCGGAACGCTGCAGGGGGCCCGGGAATGGGCACCAACTCCAACGCAGGGGGGTTTGCCTCCACAAGGGGGAAGGCGATCCCAGATTTCGGCGTTGGCGGGAGCATTTCGGCCACCTCGGAAGCCAGGATATTACCACCATCGCCGAGCTCCGGCTCTTCTTCCCTCGGTGGCGGCACGCCGCCGGTTTGTTGGTGTTGGTGTCAACCTCTGGGCTCTAGGCCTGCGACACTGGATGTCCCGTTCCCTTCCTGGCGAGGTGCGCTTCCTGACCCTGGGCGGGGTGGAGCGCTGCCGGGTGCGGGCGGCGCCCGGCGCGCCGCTCGCTGGCGTGCGCGACTGGCTGGCGGGCGAGCTGGGCGCGGGCAGGCTGGGCCCCGGGATCGGCCGCGCCGACGCGGCCCTGCCAGGCGGACGGCTCCTGAGCGGGGCCTCGGCGGGCGAGACCGTCGCGGACGCCTTCGTGTTGTAGGCATCGGGTCGCCGCCGTGCTTCGTCCTGGGCCCCGGGGTGTCGTCCAGGGAGGGGTGTTTTCGTGGGCCTCGGGATGCGTACCAGCAGCTGCGCCTCGCCGAGAGGCGTCTGGGGGGGCCCGGATGGTCCCCGACAGCCGCCAGAGACCCGCGAGCCAGGCGACGAAGATACACTGGGGGGAATAATCAGGCTCAGACTGGGGCTCAACTGTGTCGCAGTATATCGTATCTTCACCGCTCGCTGTAGGTCGCCTCCAGATCGCTGCAGATCGTATCCGGGTTGCAGTAGATCGTGTTTTTGTCGCTGTCGATCGTATCTTGATCGCTGCAGGGCGCTTTCGGCGGTGAGATGTTGACGATGCAGAGGTGTGTATTTCCGGCCATGCTGAAGCTTGGCCGGTGACTTGCAGTCTCGTGCGATGTGACCGAGCCCGCCGCACCTCAGGCACACGGATGTTCGGGTCCTGATGCCACTCTTTGTCCCATGGTGCGACGTCAGGTGGGGCTACAATTATGCTCGGGAGGGGATGTTTTCGCGGGCCTCGGCACTTCCCAGTCTCGGGATGCGTACCAGCAGCTGCGCCTCGCCGAGAGGCGTCTGGGGGTGCCCGGATGGCCCGCGACGGCCGCCGGAGACCCGCGAGCCAGGCGACGAAGATACACTGGCGGGGAATAGGCTCAGGGGGGGGGGTGCATCGACCCTCAGTCGCCCATTCCACGCCGACGTCAGCCCGATAGCTCGCGCTGCCCAGGATCCTCGTCCTCCTCCTCCTCCTCCTCCTTTCCTCCTCCTCCTCTTCTTCTTCTTCTTCCTCCTCCTCCTCCTCCTTCTCCTCCTCCTCTTCCTCCTCTTCCTTCTCCTCCTCCTCCTCCTCCTCCTCCTCCTCCTCCTCCTCCGCGATGTGTCGCCGAGCCCAGGTCGATGTTGTCCGCCCTAGCCGGGCCAGGTCCCCACCCTCGCTGCCCGAGCCCGCCCGGGAGCGTGGGGCGCGGGCACGCGAGGTTTTCGGTCGGGCCGGTCCCCCCTACAGGGGGATTTTGGACGACAGACCAGAAATGACCCCAAAAACATACCCAGAGATCCAGCGCAATGAAAAAATCAAGACGGAGGTGTTTCATATTTTTCGGCCTCGAGGGGCCCTCGCCGGGCCCTGGGACCGTCAAACAACGACTCAGGATGAGAAACCTGCCCCGAGGAAAGGGTCAAGACTTCTGGGGACCCCGCATTGAAAAAATCACCACGTCGGATCTCAGGGTACTCCACAAATGCTCAAGAATGATCCAGAACTCGTCCCCTGACTATTCTTGGACGATTTTTGACTGCTCCTCCTCTAGAGGCACCGGCCCGACTCGAGCGAAGCTGGAGGCCCTCGCTCCGCCTCCAGCCGCGGCCCTCCCCGGAGCACCGAGCGCTCCTGAGCAGCCCGCCCGCGCGCCCCCCTCGGCGGGCCCTCGGACCTCCCGGCCGTGCCGACGGAGGGGCGCCCTGGCGCTTGCGATCCAGAGGGTGCCCATCCCACGTCCACGGATGCAGAGGGTGTCCACGGCGCTCGTCCACACGCTCGCTCACACACACACGTCCACGGATACAGAGGGTGTCCACGTCCACGGATGGGCGCCCTGGCGCTTGCGATCCAGAGGGCGCCCTGGCGCTTGCGATCCAGAGGGTGTCCACGGATACCGACGCATTTGGGCTCCAGGGAGCCCCATGGCCGCTCGGAGGTTGCCGGCGAGAGCCGCGCGTCGCGCATCGCGGGGCGCGGGCACGCGAAGTTGGAGGTCCCCGCCTGCCGCCCCGGCTCGAGCCGTGGCCCTCCCCGGAGCCCCGAGCGCTCCCAGGAGCCCGCGCGCGCCCCCCTCGGCGGGCCCCAGGGCCTCCCGACCGCGCCCACGGATGGTCGCCGCGGGAGGCGAACACACGGTGCTGCTCAGGAGCGACGGCACGGCCGTGGCCTTCGGCTCGAATCACGAGGGCCAGTGCGCCGTGCCGGCGCTGGACGGTGGCCTGAGCTTCACGCAGGTCGCCGCCAGAGATGCCCACACGGTGTTGCTCAGGAGCGACGGCACGGCCGTGGCCTTCGGCTGGAATTTCGCCGGCCGGTGCGCCGTGCCGGCGCTGGACGGTGGCCTGAGCTACACGCAGGTCGCCGCCGGAGGAGGCCACACGGTGCTGCTCAGGAGCGACGGCACGGCCGTGGCCTTCGGCGAGAATGGTCGCGGCCAGTGCGCCGTGCCGGCGCTGGACGGTGGCCTGAGCTACACGCAGGTCGCCGCGGGACAGAACCACACGGTGCTGCTCAGGAGCGACGGCACGGCCGTGGCCTTCGGCTGGAATGGCGCCGGCCAGTGCGCCGTGCCGGCGTTGGACGGTGGCCTGAGCTACACGCAGGTCGCCGCGGGAGGCGCCCACACGGTGCTGCTCAGGAGCGACGGCACGGCCGTGGCCTTCGGCTCGAATGACCGCGGCCAGCGCGCCGTGCCGGCGTTGGACGGTGGCCTGAGCTACACGCAGGTCGCCGCGGGACAGAACCACACGGTGCTGCTCAGGAGCGACGGCACGGCCGTGGCCTTCGGCTCGAATCACGCTGGCCAGTGCGCCGTGCCGGCGCTGGACGGTGGCCTGAGCTACACGCAGGTCGCCGCGGGACAGAACCACACGGTGCTGCTCAGGAGCGACGGCACGGCCGTGGCCTTCGGCTGGAATCGCGCCGGCCAGTGCACCGTGCCGGCGCTGGACGGGGCGCTGACGTACACCGCGCGCCCGCTCGTCGGCGCGGCGCTGCTCCTGCAGGCGTCGCTCGACGGCGGCGCGGTGCTCGGCCGGAAGGGAGCGGGTCCCGGGGCCGTCCCCCGTGGACCAGACCTTCATCCTGAGTCGTTGTCTGACAGTCCTGGGGCCCGTGGACGGCCTGCGGAGGCGAAGGGCCCGGAAAGGGGCAGCAACTCCAACGCAGGGGGGTTTGCCTCCACAAGGGGGAAGGCGATCCCAGATTTCGGCGTTGGCGGGAGCATTTCGGCCACCTCGGAAGCCAGGATATTGCCACCATCGCTGAGCTCGGGCTCTTCTTCCCTCGGTGGCGGCACGCCGCCGGTTTGTTGGTGTTGGTGTCAACCTCTGGGCTCTAGGCCTGCGACACTGGATGTCCCGTTCCCTTCCTGGCGAGGTGCGCTTCCTGACCCTGGGCGGGGTGGAGCGCTGCCGGGTGCGGGCGGCGCCCGGCGCGCCGCTCGCTGGCGTGCGCGACTGGCTGGCGGGCGAGCTGGGCGCGGGCAGGCTGGGCCCCGGGATCGGCCGCGCCGACGCGGCCCTGCCAGGCGGACGGCTCCTGAGCGGGGCCTCGGCGGGCGAGACCGTCGCGGACGCCTTCGGGTTGTAGGCATCGGGTCGCCGCCGTGCTTCGTCCTGGGCCCCGGGGTGGCATCCAGGGAGGGGTGTTTTCGTGGGCCTCGGGATGCGTACCAGCAGCTGCGCCTCGCCGAGAGGCGTCTGGGGGTGCCCGGGTGGTCCCCGACAGCCGCCAGAGACCCGCGAGCCGGGCGACGAAGATACACTGGGGGGAATAATTAGGCTCAGACTGGGGCTCAACTGTGTCGCAGTATATCGTATCTTCACCGCTCGCTGTAGGTCGCCTCCAGATCGCTGCAGATCGTATCCGGGTTGCAGTAGATCGTGTTTTTGTCGCTGCCGATCGTATCTTGATCGCTGCAGGGCGCTTTCGGCGGTGAGATGTTGACGATGGAGGTGTGTATTTCCGGCCATGCTGAAGCTTGGCCGGTGACTTGCAGTCTCGTGCGATGTGACCGAGCCCGCGGCACCTCAGGCACACGGATGTTCGGGTCCTTGTGCCTGTCCCATGGTGCGTCGTCAGGTGGGGCTACACTTATGCTCGGGAGGGATGTTTTCGCGGGCCTCGGCACTTCCCAGTCTCGGGATGCGTACCAGCAGCTGCGCCTCGCCGAGAGGCGTCTGGGGGTGCCCGGATGGCCCGCGACGGCCGCCGGAGACCCGCGAGCCAGGCGACGAAGATACATTGGGGGGGAATAGGCTCAGGGGGGAGGGGGTGCATCGACCCTCAGTCGCCCATTCCACGCCGACGGGAGCCCGATAGCTCGCGCTGCCCAGGATCCTCGTCCTCCTCCTCCTCCTCCTTTCCTCCTTTCCTGCTCTTTTTCTTCTTCTTCTTCTTCCTCCTCCTCCTCCTTCTCCTCCTCCTCTTCCTCCTCTTCCTCCTCCTCCTCCTCCTCCTCCTCCTCCTCTTCCTCCTCTTCCTCCTCCTCCTCCTCCTCCTCCTCCTCCTCCTCCGCGATGTGTCGCCGAGCCCAGGTCGATGTTGTCCTCCCCCGCCGAGCCAGGTCCCCGCCCTCGCTGCCCGAGCCCGCCCGGGAGCGTGGGGCGCGGGCACGCGAGGTTTTCGGTCGGGCCGGTCCCCCCTACAGGGGGCTTTGGGACGACAGACCAGAAATGACTCCAAAAATATACCCAGAGATCCAGCGTAACGAAAAAATCAAGACGGAGGTGTTTCATATTTTTCGGCCTCGAGGGGCCCTCGCCGGGCCCTGGGACCGTCAAAAAACGACTCAGGATGAGAAACTGCCCCGAGGAAAGGGTCGAGACTTCTGGGGACCCCGCGTTGAAAACATCACGACGTCGGATCTCAGGGTACTCCACAAATGCTCAAGAATGATCCTCCCTGGAGGCACCGGCCCGACTCGAGCGAAGCTGGAGGCCCCCGCTCCGCCTCCAGCCGCGGCCCTCCCCGGAGCACCGAGCGCTCCCGAGCAGCCCGCCCGCGCGCCCCCCTCGGCGGGCCCTCGGACCTCCCGGCCGTGCCCACGGAGGGGCGCCCTGGCGCTTGCGATCCAGAGGGTGCCCATCCACGTCCACGGATACGGAGGGTGTCCACGGCGCTCGTCCACACGCTCGTCCACACACACACGTCCACGGATACAGAGGGTGTCCACGTCCACGGATGGGCGCCCTGGCGCTTGCGATCCAGAGGGCGCCCTGGCGCTTGCGATCCAGAGGGTGTCCACGGATACCGACGCATCTGGGCTCCAGGGAGCCCCATGGCCGCTCGGAGGGGGGCGGCGAGAGCCGCGCGTCGCGCATCGCGGGGCGCGGGCACGCGAAGTTGGAGGTCCCCGCCTGCCGCCCCGGCTCGAGCCGTGGCCCTCCCCGGAGCCCCGAGCGCTCCCAGGAGCCCGCGCGCGCCCCCCTCGGCGGGCCCCCGGGCCTCCCGACCGCGCCCACGGATGGTCGCCGCGGGAGGCCGGCCACACGGTGCTGCTCAGGAGCGACGGCACGGCCGTGGCCTTCGGCTCGAATGCGAGGGCCAGTGCGCCGTGCCGGCGCTGGACGGTGGCCTGAGCTACACGCAGGTCGTCCGCGGGATACGCCAACACGGTGCTGCTCAGGAGCGACGGCACGGCCGTGGCCTTCGGCTGGAATCGCGCCGGCCAGTGCGCCGTGCCGGCGCTGGACGGTGGCCTGAGCTACACGCAGGTCGCCGCGGGACAGTCCCGTACGGTGCTGCTCAGGAGCGACGGCACGGCCGTGGCCTTCGGCTGGAATGGTCATGGCCGGTGCGCCGTGCCGGCGCTGGACGGTGGCCTGAGCTACACGCAGGTCGCCGCGGGAGGCGCCCACACGGTGCTGCTCAGGAGCGACGGCACGGCCGTGGCCTTCGGCTCGAATGACGCGGCCAGTGCGCCGTGCCGGCGCTGGACGGTGGCCTGAGCTACACGCAGGTCGCCGCGGAGGCGCCCACACGGTGCTGCTCAGGAGCGACGGCACGGCCGTGGCCTTCGGCTCGAATGGCCTCGGCCAGTGCGCCGTGCCGGCGCTGGACGGTGGCCTGAGCTACACGCAGGTCGCCGCGGGAGGCGCCCACACGGTGCTGCTCAGGAGCGACGGCACGGCCGCGGCCTTCGGCTCGAATCTCGCTGGCCGGTGCAGCGTGCCGGCGCTGGACGGTGGCCTGAGCTACATGCAGGTCGCCGCGGGAGGCGCCCACACGGTGCTGCTCAGGAGCGACGGCACGGCCGTGGCCTTCGGCACGGCCGTGGCCTTCGGCTCGGCGTTGGCGGATATTACCACCATCGCCGAGCTCCGGCTCTTCTTCCCTCGGTGGCGGCACGCCGCCGGTTTGTTGGTGTTGGTGTCAACCTCTGGGCTCTAGGCCTGCGACACTGGATGACCCGTTCCCTTCCTGGCGAGGTGCGCTTCCTGACCCTGGGCGGGGTGGAGCGCTGCCGGGTGCGGGCGGCGCCCGGCGCGCCGCTCGCTGGCGTGCGCGACTGGCTGGCGGGCGAGCTGGGCGCGGGCAGGCTGGGCCCCGGGATCGGCCGCGCCGACGCGGCCCTGCCAGGCGGACGGCTCCTGAGCGGGGCCTCGGCGGGCGAGACCGTCGCGGACGCCTTCGGGTTGTAGGCATCGGGTCGCCGCCGTGTTTCGTCCTGGGCCTTGGGGTGTCATCCAGGGAGGGGTGTTTTCGTGGGCCTCGGGATGCGTACCAGCAGCTGCGCCTCGCCGAGAGGCGTCTGGGGGGGCCCGGATGGTCCCCGACAGCCGCCAGAGACCCGCGAGCCAGGCGACGAAGATACACTGGGGGGAATAATTAGGCTCAGACTGGGGCTCAACTGTGTCGCAGTATATCGTATCTTCACCGCTCGCTGTAGGTCGCCTCCAGATCGCTGCAGATCGTATCCGGGTTGCAGTAGATCGTGTTTTTGTCGCTGCCGATCGTATCTTGATCGCTGCAGGGCGCTTTCGGCGGTGAGATGTTGACGATGGAGGTGTGTATTTCCGGCCATGCTGAAGCTTGGCCGGTGACTTGCAGTCTCGTGCGATGTGACCGAGCCCGCCGCACCTCAGGCACACGGATGTTCGGGTCCTTGTGCCTGTCCCATGGTGCGACGTCAGGTGGGGCTACAATTATGCTCGGGAGGGATGTTTTCGCGGGCCTCGGCACTTCCCAGTCTCGGGATGCGTACCAGCAGCTGCGCCCCGCCGAGAGGCGTCTGGGGGTGCCCGGATGGCCCGCGACGGCCGCCGGAGACCCGCGAGCCAGGCGACGAAGATACACTGGGGGGGAATAGGCTCAGGGGGGAGGGGGTGCATCGACCCTCAGTCGCCCATTCCACGCCGACGGGAGCCCGATAGCTCGCGCTGCCCAGGATCCTCGTCCTCCTCCTCCTCCTCCTCCTCCTCCTCCTCCTCCTCCTCCTCCTCCTCCTCCTCCTCCTCCTAGGCCATTTTGGCTCAAGATGATGATGCCTGCGGCGTCCTTCTTGGATACCGCTAGTCCGCGGCCAGACCCCAAGCTTTTGCCGCCACAACCACGGGCTTGCGGCTGCCCACAGCTCTTCCTGCTTCTCACTTTGGCATTGCAGGCTGCCATCCATATCAGCTCGTCCGAGCCCTTCATATCGCCCGTCGAGCCCAGCTCCGAGCACTACATATCGCCCGTCGAGCCCAGCTCCGAGCACTACATATCCGCCGTCGAGCCAAACTCCGTGCACTACGTATCCGCCGTCGAGCCTAGCTCCGAGCATTTCATTCCCGTCGAGAACGTTGCCCGCACCGAGACCAGCCTGCAGCTTCTCCGCCAACCACGTATTGGCACCGCAGCCGTCCTGGACATTGGACAGCAGTACAGCAGACACTTACCGGACTTGCCCTACCTACCGCAACCATGTCGTCAAGCAGTGAAGAGAGATCTACGTCTCGCAGCGCACCGTCGCGCAGAAGGAAAGAACGCCGCCGTGGACGCCAAGACAAAGATCGAGAGGATAAAGGTTCCCGTGCATCCGCCGCCAGGGCCACACTCGACGCCATGGGAGAAGCTGGCGTCGCCTCGCAACTCGTACGTGCTTCAGGGAGTGCATCGGCGCCGCCTTCACGTCCTGGTCGCTCGTCAGCGCGCCCGTCTACTCCGCCAACGTTTGCGATGGATGCCGACGACCTTCTACACCACGGTGATGTTGCTCGCCACGCAGCGGCTGCCCCCGAGCAAGCACGCGATGGACAAGGGGATGCTCCGCCTTCCAAACTACTTGCAGTCGAGGCAGCACCAGCAGCAGGAGGACACCTGCGTGCAGATCCACTGGCAGGAATTCGTGACCCTTGGCGTGGCCAACAAGCCGCTGGACGAGCGTCCGCCGTCGGAGCCGCCGCCGACCGTCATGGCGGAGACATGCCAGCCTCCATCGAAGCCGCAGGAGGAACAGCCACGCCTGGATCGTTCCCAAGCATCCCAGGTCTGTCTCCTGATGTCGAAACAGCTCTTCAACAAGTCATGCAGACTCAAGTCGAACACGCCGCCGCCACCTTCCAAGCCCAGGCCAACGCTCTACTCAATGAGCCTCGTGAAAGTTTTCGTCAAATTCTCGCGCAACAAGTCATTGCTACCGAACGCCGAGTGGATACCCTACATGATGCAGTCGCCCGCACACGCCGCGAACAAGACCGCCAAGCCGACGAGCAGAAGAATATGTGGCAGCAGATCGATCAGATGCGCGACACGCTCGCGCTCGCTGAAGCTCAGGCGCCCATCGCGGACCTCACTAAGCTCGCTGACTGGGGCCGCGCCCCCGACCCGACCATCTTCTCCATTGGCTGCCAGCGCCTCATCGCGCCCGACATACTGCTCAACGACCTGCAGGAGTGGATCGCCTCTGCCAACGTGGACCGCCACGCCGTGGAGCTGCTGGGCGACGAGCCGCCCAGACGCTTCCTTCTTCAAGTCAAAGGAGATCGCGCAGCCGCAATCCCGCGAGCTCTCGCTCTTTCACGCGCCTTTCGAGATCCTGCTGGCAGGTGGAAACGCTTTGAGTCCACCGACACGACAGGCGCCCGAGTGGATATCTACCTCAATCCCGACAAGTCTCCCAAGCAGATCCGCACCGAGATCCAGTGCAAGAAGCTCCTGCAACTGCTCCAGCACCGCTGCCCTGACAAGCCTTGGAGGGCCATCCGCGCCAAGGGCGAGATCCATTGCAACGCCATGCCCGTTGTCCGCCTCGACGTCAAGGGCCAGGCCGACCCCGCCATCCTCGAGTGGAACGAGCGCGCGTTCGAAGGCCACCACTTCAACGAAGTGGATCGCGGTGGCGTCCTCACCGCGTTCCAGGCGCTCTTCGCGGACACTGCTTCAGCAACGTGGCGGGTTTAGCCGCCCCTGGTTGCCGTGGCGACCGACCGAGGGCCCCGCCCCCAGCACCTTCATCACGTGGAATGCCAGAGCCCTCATGTGCCACAAGCGCCAGCGCCGCCGCCGCAAGCAGGCTGCCCTGACTAAGTACATGCGCCGCCACTGCGTCATCCTCCTCCAGGAGGTCCACGGCTCGGAGGCCCTGCTCCGCACGTGGGTGGACACGCAGCCGTGCCCGTACAAGCTCTTTTTCTCCGAGTTCGTCGGCGGCGATGACGAGGGGGGCCGACCTGGCACTGGCGGAGTTGCTACGTTGGTGCCCTGGCTCACGCCCATGCAGCTCGAGCAGCTTGCCCCTCACCGACTGCCTACCTTCGCCCGCGAGGAGATCGCCAAGGGCCGCGTCCAGACCGTCACCGTCACCAATGCTGTCACGAACAACTCCATCGTCATCATGAACGTCCATAACCACGAGATCGACGCTCGCGGCCGCGACCGAGTGCAACGTGCTTGGCATCAGCATCGCGCCTGGGCCGAGGCCGACTACCAGCACCGCGCCTTCATCGCCGTGGGGGGCTTCAATACTGCCAGCCGCCCGCCGAACAGCTCCCTGCAATCCCAGCCACAGCGCGCGCGCCTTGCGCTGGACAACAGCGCCCGCCAGCAGCAGCCTTTCTGGAAAGCACTTTTCGACTCCATGCTCGAAATCGAATCCGACTTGCCGACCCGCTTCAACAAGTCCGACTTCTCCGCCTCAGCGATCGACCGCGTTTTCATCAGCTTGCCGTCCCATGCCATGCTCGAGCTCACATCTCATATCAACATTGTACACGATCCTGCCATCCTGTCAGACTCCTTCCTCAGCGACCATGCGATCATCTCCTACACCATCGGCATCAAGCCGCGCACGCCGACGAACGACCAGGCGATCCCCCCTGCGATCTTCCGCGACCCGAACTACGCCAAGTACCTGGACCAACTGATCACCCTCACCAAGACTCAGCACGTCCCCATGCAGAACCGCTGGCGCACGCACAAGCGCCTCATGGTCGAGGCTGCGAGGCTCGTCCGCGACGACTGGGTCAGCTCCACCGGGGACGGCAACAAATCCAACCATGGCGCGTTCGATCTCACGCGCGGTCTGGCGCTATGATGTGGCTCTCGTCGCTCGTCGCCTTCAGTCCACCACCGAGCTTGGTGCCAAGTACCTCTCGATTACCGACGGCCTCATCGCGATCATCAACCAGCCCGAGTTCGCTGACATGTCAGCCGCGCTCCACCGCGACTTCGAGGCTCGGCAACGCTCTCTGGCGCAAAGAGCTGCCCAGCGCCCCCCTGGCGCGGCAGGGGCCCTCGAGCCCGAGAAACTCAGTCGAATCTTGCGCGCCTCGCAGAGGCGGGCTCTCCTTTGGGCCCCCTGGAAGCGTCGTCTGGTCCTCCAGGGCATCATAATCTCGGGCCCAGATGGCCACCCTGGGGTCGCCAGAGAGAGCTGCGATATGGCGGACGCCCTTCGCACCTACTGGAAGCCCGTCTTCGCGCACAAGCTCGTCGATTCCGACAAGGTCGCGCAGTGCATCTCCGAGCACGCGCCGCTGGGCGCCGCCATCGACGTGGGCGCGCCGACCAAGAGGCAGATCCGCGCCTTCCTGACTCGCACCTCGCCGTCGGCTCCTGGACCTGACTGCCTCCCATATCGCGCTTGGCTCGCGCGCGACTCGTCGCTGGACCTGCTCGAGGACCTCTCGTTCCACCTCTGCTCGAACGCTAACTTCATCCACGACCTGAGCGATTCTGACTTCGCCTTCCTGCCGAACGGGGACAACCTCGTCGGCGAGATGCATACCGACAGGGCGCCTGAGGACACGCGCCCGCTCTCGCTCAAGAACACTAATATCAAGGCCATCGCTGGCGCCGCCAACTTCCCCCTCAAACCCGCTGTGGCAGAGCGGGCTCACAAGGCGCAGCAGGGTTTCGTAGTCGGCCGCAACTTCACCAAGCACATTGTCATTCTTGACGCCGAAATGCGCCGCGCTGGGTTACGTCCCGATGCTGCTGATCACCACCCTGTCTTCACCAGCTTCGACTTCGCGGCGGCGTTCCCGTCTTTGGGTCGGGCCTGGCTCTTCGCGGCACTCGAGCGCTTCGGGGTCCCCATCGGCCTCATGAGCCTCTTCCGCAACCTGTGCCACGCGCCGAACAGCTTCCTCAAGGTCGACGGGATCCGCCACTTCACGTTCGCCATCGAGTCGGGCGTCGCGCAGGGCTGCCCCGCCAGCGGCTCGGCATGGGCCATCGCGATGGACCCGCTCGTCCGCCACGTCGCCTCCTTCATCGAGCACCCCGACGGCGCGCCCGACTACGACAAAGGCTACCTCGGCGTCTGCGCGGACGACACTGGCCTGCTCACATTCTCGTTCGACACGCTGCGCAAGGCATCTGAGCCTTTTTCTGCCGCAGAGGAGCTCGCGCTTCTCTCCCTCGAACCTCGCAAGTGTGTAGTCGTGCCCCTGTGGGCGCCTGTCTCTCCTGCCACCACGGCCCAAACGAAAGCGCTCCTGGCTGACCTTTGCCCTTCCTGGGGTGGCTTCACGATTTCGGGGCGAGCCAAGTACCTCGGGACCTTTCTTGGACCTTCCTCCCCCCTTGCCCTTCAATGGCTCGCCCCAGGGCAAAAGTGGTGGCAACGCAGTAATTTGCTCAACCTCGTCCAGTCTGGCAGTGATGTCACCGTTCGCTTATATAACACTTCCGTCTTGTCCACGCTCAGCTACGTTGCTCAGTTCTTCCCGCTCGATTCTAAGATTGCTCGCCGTGAACTGTGCGTCTTCCACAAAATGCTCAGCTTGCCGCCCAACTCTTTGCGGAAGGTAGATCTCATCTCGATGGCGGAATGGAGCCCGCCACCTGTCCTTCGCTCAGCTCAAGTCGCATCTGTCGCCGCAGCCATCCGTACAGCCACTTTCACACTCCGTGGAGAATGGGAACCGTTCTTCCACCGTCTGCGAGACACCGCCTGGGAGGAGAGCACGATCCATTCCTTCCCTCGGTGGGAAGCAGGGCGCTGCCCCCCCCCCCCTTCTGGGAAGAGACCTCGTCCATCGTGCAGTTCTACCATGCCCTGTCTCGCGGGCAGCGTGTCTCGCCATTTTCTGCAGCAGCCGTGGCCCTGGCGAACCGCGCTGCACGAGCCGAAATTCGCGAGGCACCTGCTGCTGATCCGCCGCGTCGCCCGAAGGTGCAGAGGGCGGTCGCGCTTGCTCTGCAGCGTGCCTTTTTCTCTTCGCCGTTCACCGTCACTCTCACGAAGCGCCTTGTAGCATGGGGCCTTCAGCAGCCGCCGCCTCCCCCAGAGCTCTCATGCCGCTGGTCAGCTCTCACAAAAGCGCTCGGAGAGGTCCGCCCCAGCTGGCGATGGGCGGTTTTCAAATCGCTCAGTGGCGGGTGGACCACCACCCACCGCATGCATGTGCTCGCCCAGCGCTCGTGCGTGTTCGGGTGCCCGAACGCACCCGATTCATTTCCCCACTACCTCTCCTGCTCCGTCCTCCTGAGCCTCCTGTGGTCCCCCGACCCCGCTCCTCTCCTCAGCACATATACGACCTGGGGCTTGGGCCCCGCAGCAGCGTACCCTTCCGAGCCTGCCAGCGACCTCTCGTTGCGGCAGACGATTCGCAGGATCGCTCTGGCCTTCCATCTGTACAACAAAATGAAGCAGTGCGCAGCGCCGTCGCCAGCAAACATTGCTGCAGCGATGGCCGCAGCGAAATCTTTCCTGTGGCGTTGAGCCGCTGTCCGCCGTCTCACGCGCTGCCTCTCTCTCTAGTCAGGCGTGTGCGTGTGCTGGGCTGACAGACGTGGCCGCCTCAAGGTACGTTCACTCCTCCTCCTCCTCCTCCTCCTCCTCCTCCTCCTCCTCCTCCTCCTCCTCCTCTCTTCTTCTTCTTCTTCCTCCTCCTCCTCTTCCTCTTCTTCCTCCTCCTCCTCCGCGATGAGTCGCCGAGCCCAGGTCGATGTTGTCCTCCCCCGCCGAGCCAGGTCCCCGCCCTCGCTGCCCGAGCCCGCCCGGGAGCGTGGGGCGCGGGCACGCGAGGTTTTCGGTCGGGCCGGTCCCCCCTACAGGGGGCTTTGGGACGACAGACCAGAAATGATTCCAAAAATGTACCCAGAGATCCAGCGTAATGAAAAAATCAAGACGGAGGTGTTTCATATTTTTCGGCCTCGAGGGGCCCTCGCCGGGCCCTGGGACCGTCAAAAAACGACTCAGGATGAGAAACAGGCCCCGAGGAAAGGGTCGAGACTTCTGGGGACCCCGCGTTGAAAACATCACGACGTCGGATCTCAGGGTACTCCACAAATGCTCAAAAATGATCCAGAACTCGTCCCCAGACTATTCTTGGACGATTTTTGATTGCTCCTCCTCTGGAGGCACCGGCCCGACTCGAGCGAAGCTGGAGGCCCCCGCTCCGCCTCCAGCCGCGGCCCTCCCCGGAGCACCGAGCGCTCCTGAGCAGCCCGCCCGCGCGCCCCCCTCGGCGGGCCCTCGGACCTCCCGGCCGTGCCCACGGAGGGGCGCCCTGGCGCTTGCGATCCAGAGGGTGCCCATCCCACGTCCACGGATGCAGAGGGTGTCCACGGCGCTCGTCCACACGCTCGTCCACACACACACGTCCACGGATACAGAGGGTGTCCACGTCCACGGATGGGCGCCCTGGCGCTTGCGATCCAGAGGGCGCCCTGGCGCTTGCGATCCAGAGGGTGTCCACGGATACCGACGCATCTGGGCTCCAGGGAGCCCCATGGCCGCTCGGAGGGGGGCGGCGAGAGCCGCGCGTCGCGCATCGCGGGGCGCGGGCACGCGAAGTTGGAGGTCCCCGCCTGCCGCCCCGGCTCGAGCCGTGGCCCTCCCCGGAGCCCCGAGCGCTCCCAGGAGCCCGCGCGCGCGCCCCCCTCGGCGGGCCCCCGGGCCTCCCGACCGCGCCCACGGATGGTCGCCGCGGGATACGCCCACACGGTGCTGCTCAGGAGCGACGGCACGGCCGTGGCCTTCGGCGAGAATGTCCTCGGCCAGTGCGCCGTGCCGGCGCTGGACGGTGGCCTGAGCTACACGCAGGTCGCCGCGGGAGGCGCCCATACGGTGCTGCTCAGGAGCGACGGCACGGCCGTGGCCTTCGGCTCGAATGACCTCGGCCAGTGCGCCGTGCCGGCGCTGGACGGGGCGCTGACGTACACCGCGCGCCCGCTCGTCGGCGCGGCGCTGCTCCTGCAGGCGTCGCTCGACGGCGGCGCGGTGCTCGGCCGGAAGGGAGCGGGTCCTGGGGGGAAACGGGCCCTGGGCCCCGGGGCCGTCCCCCACGGACCAGACCTTCATCCTGAGTCGTTGTCTGACAGCCCTGGGGCCCGGAAAGGGGCAGCAACTCCAACGCAGGGGGGTTTGCCCCCGCAAGGGGGAAGGCGATCCCAGATTTCGGCGTTGGCGGGAGCATTTCGGCCACCTCGGAAGCCAGGATATTACCACCATCGCCGAGCTCGGGCTCTTCTTCCCTCGGTGGCGGCACGCCGCCGGTTTGTTGGTGTTGGTGTCAACCTCTGGGCTCTAGGCCTGCGACACTGGATGACCCGTTCCCTTCCTGGCGAGGTGCGCTTCCTGACCCTGGGCGGGGTGGAGCGCTGCCGGGTGCGGGCGGCGCCCGGCGCGCCGCTCGCTGGCGTGCGCGACTGGCTGGCGGGCGAGCTGGGCGCGGGCAGGCTGGGCCCCGGGATCGGCCGCGCCGACGCGGCCCTGCCAGGCGGACGGCTCCTGAGCGGGGCCTCGGCGGGCGAGACCGTCGCGGACGCCTTCGTGTTGTAGGCATCGGGTCGCCGCCGTGCTTCGTCCTGGGCCCCGGGGTGTCGTCCAGGGAGGGGTGTTTTCGTGGGCCTCGGGATGCGTACCAGCAGCTGCGCCTCGCCGAGAGGCGTCTGGGGGGGCCCGGATGGTCCCCGACAGCCGCCAGAGACCCGCGAGCCAGGCGACGAAGATACACTGGGGGGAATAATTTGTTGACGCTTCGCGTATCCCCACCAGCCAGCTTCTCTTCCGCTGGCATCCGTTCAGTGTTTTTGCAGGGTAATCTTCTGGCATCGTCCTTTGCCGTGCACTCGCTACAGCGGCCTACGTGCCACTGCAGCCAATTATCTCGCTCTGTGCCCCAGAACGTTATTCCCGCTCGCTGGATCTGTCCTTCGAGCCGCCGAACAAAAAAGTATCCCCACCAGCCCATCCAGAAACGATGCCCAGGGGAGTTGAGGTGATCAGTGATCAGGGAAGTCGGGGAGCATGCAGAATAACAAAGGGCGGGGGAAGCTGTCACGTACCCCAAGAGGGGGAGGATGGAGAAGGAATCCTCGTCGGAGGGGGAGGGGGAGGAAGAGGAGGAGGAGGAGGAGGAGGAGGAGGAGGAGGAGGAGGAGAATGAGGAGGAGGATGTGGAGTAGGGAGAGGACGAGGAGGACGAGAAGGAGGAGAAGGAGCAGAGGGAGGAGAAGGAGGAGAAGGAGGAGAAGGAGGAGGAGGAAGAGGGGGATGAGAAATTGAAGAGGACGGCGAACCGAAGAGCCAGAAGCGTCTTACATACATTTCGGAGGTCCTCTTGAGGCTTCTTGGGGGTCTCTTGGGAGCCTCTTGGAGGCCTCTTGGGCGCCTCTTGGGGCCGTCTGGGCGCCTCTTGGGGCGCTCTTGGGGGCTGTAGGGGCGCTCTTGGGGCCATCTTGGAGGAGATCGATCAACGAAGGGGGGTTCCCTAATTAGCCTCCCCCCTCAGGAGCTCCAAACATCGCCTCTTGGGGCGCTCTTGGGGCGCTCTTGGAGCGCTCTTGGGCGCTCTTGGGGCCGTCTTGGGGCTCTCTTGGGCCTCTTGTGGGGCCCTCTTGGGCCAGCTTGGAGCCATCTTGAGGCCTTGGATGGCCATCGGAAGCGAAACGGGGAGAAAGCAACAAACATTGATGTTCTTAAGGTTTTGGGAGGATTTTGGGCCTCGTCGGGGCCTCCTTGGGGAGCTCTTTGGCCATTTGGAGCCGTCTTGGGGCCGTCTTTGGGCCTCTTGGAACATCTTGGGAGCCATGATGACGATGATGATGATGATGATGATGATGATGATGATGATGATGATGATGATGATGATGATGATGATGATGATGATGATGATGCTGATGATGCTGATGCTGATGCTGATGATGCTGATGCTGATGCTGATGCTGATGCTGATGCTGATGCTGATGCTGATGCTGATGCTGATGCTGATGCTGATGCTGATGCTGATGCTGATGCTGATGCTGATGCTGATGCTGATGCTGATGATGATGATGATGATGATGATGATGGTGGTGGTGGTGGTGGTGATGATGATGATGATGATGACGATGATGATGACGAAGATGACGATGACGACGATGACGACGACGACGACGACGACGACGACGACGACGACGACGACGACGACGACGACGACGACGACGACGACGACGATGATGATGATGATGATGATGATGATGATGATGATGATGATGATGATGATGATGATGCTGATGACGGGATGAGAGAGGATGGGGGCAGCGAGAGTAAGGAGGAAGGAGGAACGCGTGGCGCTGTCTTTTCAAAACAAGGACCCAACACCACAGGATGGTGGGGGAATATGCAGGAAACCGCCAAACCGAGCTAGGGTTATCTTGTGTCATCTTGGAGGCCATCTTGTGCCGTCTCGGGGCATCTTGACCCTATCTTGGGCCAAAGTCCTTTCCGCGGGATGTGCCGTCGATGCCTCAGAGAGGGGGTGGGGGGAGACGTACCCCCACCCTCATAGGGGGGGAGCGAGACAGGGTTCGGAACAGGAAAAGGCTGGTGGACTTCTGCCTGGGTCACCTTGGAGCTCCGCCAACAATGCCGATGATGTTGCAGCCCCTGCGATCATGAAGGAGCTATCGTGGAGCGAACTGGGGGACGTCATGGGGCCCCATCTCGAATGCTTATTCGAGCCTTCATGTCCTGTCTTTGGGCCTCGGCCTGTCTTTGGGCCTGCCTGCTCCCTCATCTACATCATCCTCCTCCTCCTTCTCCCTTCCATCTCCTCCTCGTTCTCCTCCTCCTCCTACTCCTCCTCCTCCACCGCCTCTTCATCCCGAACGGCATCTCGGAGCCCAGAGTTGCGAGGATGTCTCCAGCGTAACGGGCTGGACCACCTCGCGCGCGGCATCTCGGACCCCAGAGTTGCGACGATGTCTCGGGCGAAACGTGCTGCGAGCAAGTCACAGGCGAAACGGGCCCGACCACCTCGAGCGCGGCGTCTCAGAGCTCCGAGTTGCGGGGGCCTCCTGGGGGCTCCTGGGGACCTTCTGGGGCTTCCTCCTGGGGCTCCTGTGGCCTCCTTCCCAGGGGGATATCTAATATGTGGCCGTCTGGGCCCCCCCAAATGGGGGGGGGGCACAAGAGCAGGAAAAATCAACGAATCGACACCGGATGTGTATTAACTTGACACGATCTGATGGGGGGCCTCCTGGGGCCTCCTGGGAGCCTCCTGGGAATCTCCCGGGGGCCCCTGGGGCCTGTCCTGGGTGTCCTGCGGCCTCCTGAAGCTCTGGGGCCTCCTGGGGCTCCCAGGGTCCCCGGGGGGATATGTAACATGTGGTCTTCTGGGCCCCCAGGCTGGACCACCTCTTGCGCGGCATCTGGGAGCTCAGAGTTGCAAGAATGTCTTGTGCGAAACGGGCCGGACCACCTTGCGCACGGCATCTCAGAGCTCAGAGTTGCGAGGATGTCTCATGCGAGACGGGCAGGACCACTTCGCGTACGGCATCTCAGAGCTCAGAATTGCGAGGATGTCTCAGGCGAAACGGGCTGGACTACGTCGCGCGCGGCATCTCCGAGGTCAGAGTTGCGAGGATGTCTCGGGCGAGATGGGCCGGACCACCTCTTGCGCGGCAGCTCAGAGCTCAGAGTTTCGAGGATGGCTCAGGCGAAACGGGCCGGTCCACCTCTTGCGCTGCACCTCGGGGCCCAGAGTTGCGAGGATGTCTCAGCCGAAACGGGCCGGACCACCTCGCAAGCGGCATCTCGGAGCCCAGAGTTGCGAGGATGTCTCAGGCGAAACGGGCCAGACCACCTCTTGCGCTGCACCTCGGGGCCCAGAGTTGCAAGGATGTCTCAGGCGAAACGGGCCAGACCACCTCGCAAATGGCATCTCGGAGCCCAGAGTTGCCGGGAAGTCTCAGGCGAAACGGGCCAGACCACCTCTCGCACGGCATCTCGGGGCCCAGAGTTTCGAGGATGTCTCAGGCGAAACGGGCCGAACCACCTCGCAAGCGTCATCTCGGAGCCCGGAGTTGCGAGGATGTCTCAGGCGAAACGGGCCGGACCACCTCTCGCACGGCTTTTCGGGGCTCAGAGTTGCGAGGATGTCTCAGGCGAAACGGCCCGGGCCACCTTTCGCGCGGCGTCCCGGAGCGCAGCTTTTCGAGGATGTCTCAGGCGAAACGGCCAATCCCGGCCAACTCAGAAACGAGAGTTGTAAGGATGTCCCAAGCGAAACGGCCCGGACCATCAGATTTTTGTTAGGATGTCTCTACTACCCTGTCCCTCGGCCAGAGTTAGCCTCGCACTCCGTTCAGCAAGCTGTTTGGGGAAAAAACGTAAGGAAATGAATGGTTTGTTGCCTTCTCGCCTTTTCGCTCCCGATCGGCTCTCGAGGCCTCAAGATGGCCCCAAGACGACCCAAGAGAGTCCCAAGAGGGGCCCAAGAGGGCCCCAAGACGGCCCCAAGAGCGCCCAAGAGCGCTCGAATAACGCCCAAAGAGGGTCCCAAGACGCCCTGCTTGAGCCTCCGAGGGGGGGCCTGAGTATCCACCCCCTCTCTTTTTGAGCCGTGTTGCCCAAGACGGTCCCAAGAAGCCTTCCAGATCTCCCCAAAGAGCCCCAAGAGGGCCCCAAGACCTCCCCAAAGAGCCCCAAGAGGGCCCCAAGAGTGCCTCAACAGGACCCCAAGAGAGCCCCAAGATGGCGCCAGGACGGCAGTACGACTCCTCCAAGAACCTCTCAATACAACGTATCCCCAAAGCCCGATTTCTCATCCTCCTTGTCATCGTCCTGCCTTCCTTCCTCCCTTCCTGCCTCCTCCCTCCTCCTCTTTATCCTCCTCGTGCCGCATCCCTGCTGCTCCTCGATCCTCCTCCTCCTCCTCCTCCTCCTCCTCCTCCCCCTCCTAACTTCTATGTCCCGTATCTTCATAGCTCGCTGTCCAGCTTAGACCCGCGCCCTGCAGGACACCTAGTCCGGCGCCAATCAGAATTTAATTGCGCAGCCTCAGACCCTCTTTGTCTCCCTGACTCCTTCTCTCTCTCTGTCTCTGTCTGTGTCTCTGTCACTTTCCCTCTCTCTCTCTCTTTCTCTCTCTCTCTCTCTCTGTCTCTCTCCTCATCCACCACCTTCTGGTACTCCTAGCCATCCCTCGTCTCCTGTTCTTCCTGATCCTCTCCTCCTCCTGCTGCTGCTGCTGCTGCTCCTTCTACTCCATCTTCGGACCCGCTATTGCCATGAACGCGTGCTGGAGCCTCGCGTTAGGTATATATTATTTGTTGCGCTTTTGAATGCATACTGTCAGAACTTACGGTTATAGACTCTTCTTCCGTCTATGCAGATGTTTCATTTCCGCCCGTTTGCCACCGCGAGGGGTACCGGTAGCAAGCGCAGTACCCTAGGCTGCAATAACCTCTACCTCTCATGCCCTCTTGCTCGCTCTTTCGCCTCGATCCGCGCCCTGCAGGGCACCACCTCCGACGCCTGTCGGGCATTTACTTGCGCCTCAGCTATTTCCGCTCCCCCCCCCAACAACCCCCCCCCATCCTCGCCAGAAACTCGCCTTGTAAGCGACCTCCTAGGCCCTAGGACTCGCCGTCTGGGATGGATGGGGGGGGCGCAGGGTGGGAGGGAGTAGCAACGATCAAAGTTGCACAACAGCCTAGTTTCTTTAGTCGCCGAGGTCGCATGGAGCACGTGCCGCTGTCCCTCGTTAGATTAGGCCCACGTGGCACGAGGTCGACGGCATCGCGCACTCTGTTCACGCGCCGCACCACCGATACCTGATGCATCGCATCTCCATGCGACGAAGACATATCGCCATCGTTGGCTAGTCGCCTTGGGGTCATTTGAGGGAGTTTCTGTGGAACTCCCGCCATCCTCACCCCTGGCGCGCGAGGAGCACGGGAGCGGACAGGGTCTTCTGGCACCGTTTCCAGGGAATTCCGGGGACGAATGCCAAGCTGGCGCCCTCGCTTGGGACATCCTTTCAAAACCGGCCCTGGGGGGGGTCCAAAGGAGCCCTGAAAGGGCTTCCCGCGCCGTTTCTGGGGAATTCTGGAGACGAATGCCAAACCGGCGCCCTCGCTTGGGACATCCTGTCAAAACCGGCCCTGGGGGAGGAGTTCCCGTGGAACTCACGTCATCCTCACCCCCAGCACATCCTTTCAAAACTGGCCCTGGAGGAAGGGTCCAGAGGAGCCCAGAAAAAGAGGCTTCTGGCACTGTTTCCTCACCCTCCTGATCTTCATGCTCCTCATCCTCGTTCTCCTGATCCTCATTCTCAACATCCTCACCCTCCTGCTCCGTGACCCTCACTCTCCTGATCCTAACCCTCGTGAGCCTCACCCTCCTGGTCCTCGCCCTCCTCATCCTCGCCTGCCGCACCACCGCCTCCCCCTCATTCTCCTCTCGCCCACAGGCGCGCGGCGCACGCACCTTCTTCTATACACAGAAACTCCCAATCAACCGCAGAGCGGCTGGCTAGTCATACCTGCGCCAAGTGACCTCGCCAAGCCGAGCGCCACACTCGGCCGCCGTAATCACTGCATCACCAGGGCGTCGTTGTAAGCACCGCGACTATCGCAGCCATCCCTACCATCACTGACATCACCGCCACAATTTCGGCCGGGCCATCAACATGGTGCGCGTCCTCGTTTTAATCACGACCGTTGTGGTCAGCGCACTCATCAACGCAATGTTCATCATCATCATCATCATCATCACCACCATCATCATCATCATCATCATCATCATCAGCATCAGCATCAGCATCAGCATCATCATCAGTAGCATCATGGCTTTACCCGTCGTCATTATCATCGGTGTCGTCGTCATGTTCATCGTTATCATCATCACCATCATCATAGACATCATCACCAATACCATCGCCGTCGTCGTCATCATCGTCATCGTCATCGTCACCATCACCATGCTGATCATCATCAATCACCACACTCCTCGTCCAAATCGCGTTCGGTTCGGCGTTTGGCTCAAACATGTTGATCTCACTGCGCGCCCGCGCTGTCGTTTACAACCCACGGCGGCCAAACCATCCGCGGCTGATGTTTTGTCACCGTTTCCGGCTGCATGCCCGTGATGGTTTTGCGCGGGATATCACATTTCGGACGCACCGGGTCGCGTAGAGGCAATGCGCGGATTCTCGCTGCGATCGGGCCTGGTGCCAGAAGCCGTCGCGACCACGCTGGCGATCGAAGACACACTCAAAAAGATAATCCAGCAGGCCCTTTCGTGGATAACACTGAAACCGCGGAAGACGGCCACGGTGAGTCCTTTTGTGTGCAACCGTTTTGCGCTTGCGGCGCAGTCCTGTTTCCAAGGGTGGCAGCCCTTCAATGGTAAGTCTCTGTGCGCGTGTGGCCAAACCAACGTACTCTGGCGCTCTTATGATGCGGTGTTCTTCACCTTCAGCATGGGCATGCGACGCGGGCGCGTGTGTGTGTCTTTTTAACGCTGTTTCAAACGCTGTTCAGTTTACTCTGGGAACTGGGCGTGGCGGGGAGTCCCAGAAGAGTCGGAATTCCCTGAAGGTTTTCAGTGGCCGGAGTGGGCTCCGGGAACCAGCCTGACCAACGGGCGGTTCTTTGCGACGCCGCAGGTTTGTTGGGGGGCGACGCTACTGGAGTGGATATGGGGCAGCGCGCGGCGAGGCGGCATGAGCATGGCCGCGCGCTTCGATTTGCACCGCTCTCTATGGGTCCAAACGGCTGCAAACACAATGTGCCGCATGAGGGCGGGAACCGCGCACATGGAGCAATTTCAGTGAAGTGGCGGCGCGGGCAATGCAAGCCAGTAAACACAAGTGCGGATAAGAGCAACGCGGTCCAAAGGCTGCCTCGAGGGAGGCGCTGCGCTCGCGCGCCAATGTCAAAAACCAGCCGCAGGTGCTGATGATTTCAACATGCAGTCCGCCGCAACGCCCGACATCTGCGCGAAACAATATGGGCGGTTAGCAGGGAGGTCGCAGGCGTGGATCAAAGGCGCGTCGCGGGTGGGTCGAAGGTGGGTTGCGAGAGGGTCGCAAGTCTGTCCTGGGCGGTCGTGGGCGGGTCGTGACTGGGGCGCGGGTGAGTCGCGGAGTGGGCGGCGGGGCGGGTCGCGCGAGGCCAGATGAGGCCGGGCCACAATGCGACGCAAAACCGGGAGTCCGCACGACAGAATCCGACCTCGGCCATGCCCCCAGGGACAGTTCAAGACCGCTCTGGCTCCTCGCTCTGACGTATGTTTCACAGCAGTCCTCCCCTCTCTCTTCCAATTTATTTTGCTTCGAGGAATCCCCGCCCAACCTTCGGCGGGTGCCCCCCCCTTCCTCCTCGTCCTCCTTCCTTGTCCCCCTGCCTCCTGCCTCGTGCCTCCTCCTCCCCCTTGTCCCCCTTCCCTCCTTGTCTATTTTCCCTCCGGAGCTCGAAAACGACTCCCGGGTCCCCAAATCTAGGCTAAATATGCGGAGACCGTAAGACGACGTAAACCCAAAAAGAAAGCTACACAGAACGACGACGACGACGACGACGACGACGACGACGGACGACGGTCGACGGACGACGGACGACGACGCGGACGACGAAAACGACGACGACGACGATGATGATTACGATGATGATGGCGGGGGTGATGGTGATGGTGATGATGCTGCTGATGGTGATGGTCATGGTGATGATGATGATGATGTTGATGATGATCTCAAAGCCTTCGGCGCATCCCGCCACCGTGCCTGGGCTGTGGGTCAGAGGGCTCTTGAGTGTTCGTTGGGATCTCGTGGCAGGTGTCTCCGTGGCCTCTTGAAATCAGTTCCGAGGCGTGTTGGAGTCCGTTTGGGTGCTTCTTGAGGCTTCTTGGGGGCCTCTTTTGGGTCTTTGGGGGGCCTCTTGGGGGCTTCTTGTGTGCCTCTTGGGCCTCCTTAGGGCTTCTTGGGGCTGAGGGCTCGAAATGTCCGTTCGGGCACCCCGTCTGGGCCCCCTCTTGGAGCCGTTTTGATGGCTTCTTGGACCGTCCTGGAGACTTCTCGGGCCGTCTTGGGGCTCTCTTGGGTTGTTTCGGGGCCGTCAAGGGGGCTTCTTGGGGGGTCGTTGTGTGGCGATATTGGGTTCCTGTTGGGTCGTCTTAGAGCGTCTTAGAACCCCCAAACATGTCAAAGACAAGTGAATCACTTACGATTCTTGCCTGAGGGGGCCTTCTGTGGGGGCCTTTTGCAGGTTTCTTGGGGCGTCTTAGAGACCTTTTGGGCCGCGTGGGTGATTGCTAGTGGTCTTCGGCCGATCCCGCCACCGTGCCTGGGTTGTGGGTCAGAGGGCTCTTGAGTGTTCGCTGGGATCTCGTGGTAGGTGTTTCGGGGCCTCTTGGAAACAGTTTTGCTGCGTTGGGGGCCGTTTTGAAGTTTCTGTTGGGCATCATTTGACCCTCTTGGGGGCCTCTCTTCGGCTTCGCGGGCTCTCCCCATGCCCCCCCCCAGGCGTAGATTGAACATGCCATTCTACTCCGCAGCTCTCCGGGTATAACACAGCGCCCAATGCTCCGCAGCCTTCGCGCGCAATTCAACCTTCAGTGCCCAACGCGCCCAATGCCATTACATGCCGCAGCCTTCGGGTACAGCGCGACGCCCAGTATCGCATTGGCCTACGGCCAGTGCCGCCGATCCCGGGCGCTCCCGACGCTGGTTCGTTAGTGGGTGACTGGGCGGGCAGCGCCCCGCAGCAGCGCAAAAGCGCGACGGGGGTGCTCTCAAGGGGGGGGGGGAGCCCTGCGGGCAGGGGGGGCCGAGGGCGCCAAGGGGGTCTCTCCTCCAGAACTGGGGGCGCCGGGCAGGGTGACGGGGAGCTCTCCCCCCCCGGTTCCGGGGGGCCCCTGGGCCCTCCCCAGTGATCTGCGATCAGCAAGTCGTGCAGAAACGGATTCTGGGGCCCCCCCCTACCCCCCTTCCCCGGCAGAGCGACGGTTGCGGTTAATAGTGAAATGAAAAGTTTAATGGTGAAACAGAAACTTTAAAGGTGAAATAAACACTACGTAAATACACTACGTAATACACTGCGCAAATACACTGCGTAGACGCATTACGTACGTGAGTGCGCTACGTCCGCGCACTACGTGCGCGACCATGGAGGCCCCGTCGCAGCGCGCTCCAGCGGATGGCGCGGCCCTGCGAAGTCCGGACGACGAGGGCATTCTGCGTGGTGCTTTTGCGCAGCGTTCTCAGGAACGCCCCGGGTCGGCAACGCTGCCACGCGGAAAACAACGCGCCCGAGCCGCCGCGCAGCAGCGCGCCGCGTCGCCCGCGTCTCTCGCCACTTTCGCCCGAGGCCGCGGGCAGTTGCGGATTCGGGCGGAACTGGCGCGAGACGCGGACGACGAGGGCATTCTGCGCAGTGTTTGTACGTAGTGTTTTCAGGGTCGCCCCGAGTCGGCACGCAACCACGATGATGATGGTTGCCCGATCGGCGCGCCGATGATGCTGTCGTCTGGAAAGGAGGTCGGCTACGCGATTGAGGAGAGCTTCGAGTTGCTCACGCGCAACAAGTTCCATGCCATTGCCAAGGCCACTCCAGCGACGGCCAGAGTGAAGAGTGTGCAGAGGCGGTGTCCACTGACAGGAGAGCTTGACGAGGTGCGCCTTCCCCTTCCCTGGGTGTCCTCGCCCAATTCTCAAAGTGTGCTCCAAGGTCACGACGAACGTGTCGAAGTCGCGCGTGCAGCAGGACATGGCTGTGAAGTTCCGTCGCCACATGGACCATGCCTTCAGGGGGCTTGCGAGGAAAGTGATGGGTCTCGCTGGCGTGGGGGCGCTGAGCCATTTCCTGTCCACCGTCGAGGGCCGCGCAGCAAAGGCGGCGACGACCCAGCGAAGCATCAGGGCAAGTCGCCTCGCGGAGGCAAAGGGTCACCAGCTGGCCAGGCCCGACCAGTAGGCGAAAGGGCCGTCGGCGGCAGAGGACGACGCTGAGAAGAGCCACGGGGGCATAGGCAACGGGGCCATCGTTATCGGCGACCAGGCCGATGAGGATGCGGAAGCTCAGCCAAAATTCATCCTTGAGCTCGGCATGCCTTCCGCGGTTGCCCCTGCCAAGTTGCCGCAGGCCGTCTCATTGGAAAGCCGGGGGCGGCCAAGCACTGGATCGACAGGGCCCCCCTCGCGAACGCGTTGCTGGATGGCGAGATGAAGAGGGGGCTCTACCAGCTCAAGATCATCAAGAACGCGAAGGACTCTGGCCCGCTTCAACGTGACAACGCTAGGCAGCACATGAAGATGATCGAGATGTGCCGCGAGCTTTGGCCACGCAACCTTCAACGCTTGACGCGCGAGCGGAAAACTATCAGCATTGATGCTCTGAACGCCCGAGAGATCGAGTGGCCTTCTTTCACGCAGATCTACCTGCTCAATTTCGAGGTGCAGGAGCTCTGGGCTGAGATCAGGAAGACGCCTGGCCGGGGGCATGCCTTGGAGACGTTGTGCGATGTGCTCACGGTAGAGGGTTGCGCATCAAGCGCGCTCGCTTTCCTCCTCCTCGCCCTCTCCCGACCCCCCCCCCTCCTTCGTCGCGTTGAAGGTTGTGCCCGCGCGTGCTTTATGCCCCGAGGAGCCCGAGGGGGGCGCGTTGTAACGGAAAGTTTCGCAAGGACAACTTCTGACCCAAAGCCTCTCTCTAGTCGCCTCCCCCCCCCCCCCCCCCCCCCCCCCCCAGCGCCCCCCCCCCCCCCCCCCCCCCCCCTCCCTTCCCACAGTGGGCTTGCGCAGCGCCGCGCGGCCCGCGCGCGCCCTCAGCGGCGGGCGAATCTGCCGAGGGGCCTGAACAACAAAACAGACATGCAATGGGCAAGACCATGGCCCGACGGCGACCCCCTGCGCGCGCTGGGGGTCGCCGTCGGGGCCGCGCAGTGGACGCGACCCGCATGCAGAGCACAGCCTGAACATAATGCCTCCACGGAAACCTTCGGCCAGGGGAGGGGCTCAATTGCGTTTGCTTCCCCGCCCCCGTTCCTCGAGGTTGGGGGCGACGTTGGGTCGTGGCCCAAAAAGCCCAACATGGCGATTCAGGAGATTCGGGCGAGCACCCAGACCGACACCCAGCGCGCTAGCTACTTCCTGACAGAGGTGTGGCTCAACAACACTGTGAATTGGCTGCAAGAGGGCGAAGAAGCGGAGACTGCCGTCTTCTATGTCGCGGCTGAATGCCCCGCGTACTTAGCGCTCCCGGAGGAGACAGAGACCTCCGAGATCGCCCCCGCCTGCGCCCGTGCCCTCAACGACTGCGAGCGACTCTTCAACGTGATCTCTCTGCCGGGCTTGCACAAGTTCCCGCGTGCGACGCCGCGCGGGCATTTCTTCCCAGATGTTTCCAAGTGCAGGTTGGCCGTGGGCGGAGTCGGCCAGGGCCCCCCTCTCTGAGAGAGCTGATGTTTTGGCAGATGCTGCAACGAAGTCCGAGTGCGACGAGAGGGAGATCGGGAACGACCACGTGCAGGGGTTGTCCAACGACATCTTGAATGCGTTCATGAAGCACGCGGAGGCCCTTCCCCAGAGTGGGCTCGGCGACGAGACTGGCGAGTCGAATCCGAATGCGCTCGTTCAGAAGTACCTGGAGCAGGCGCAGTTGCTCTCCCGCGCGATGCCCCTCGAGGACAAGGCGACGACGGCGAGGGGGGCCACCCCGACGGCCAAGGCGGCCTTGATGGCGGAAGCGTCGGCGAAGCAAGCGAGCGCCTCCATCGAGATGTTCAGGGGCGAGGCGTGCTCACCAGAGGACGCGCGCAACTCCCTCAGGAAGACGGCGAAGGCCGCTGCAGACGGCGAAGGGGTCAACGCTGCCATCTCCAAGGAGGCGGTGGGCATCATCGAGACGATCATTACCAAGCCCTTCGATTCGATCCTGGTCGATGCGAAGAATTTGACGGCTCTTGCGAAGGAGGCCAAGGACCGCGTCGATGCGTCCAGCTCTGCATGGGCGACTGGGTGCGCGACGCTCCTGGGTCCGATCACCGAGCTGCTCGGCGCGATCACGGGGACGGGGCGACGTCAACAGCGCGGACGCGCTCGTCGGACAGTGCGACTTCGAGGCGAAGATGGTGACTCTAGGCCGCGCGCTCGAGCAGTTCGGCAGGGTCACAGAATCTGACTTCGATGGCACGATGCTCAAGGACTTGCACGCTTCGGCCGTGCAGTGGGCCGAGACGCACTTAGCGCAGCGCAGCGCCTTGACGTCGAGGCACTTGGAGATCATGAGTGGGAATGTGGAGCAGCTCGACAGGGCGATGCCAGCCTTCTCGCGCTCTGGCGACGCGGAGAAGTTCATGCATGGCGTCGACTCTGCGATCGACTTCGACACTATCTTCAAGGCCTTCTGCAGCGCGATTCTGGGCTACGACTTCAAAGACATGGACAAAGCGATCGCTTGCGTGGTCAAGGTGGCCGGCCTCGCGCCAAACGTCGGAGGGTTTGAAAGGGGGGCAGAAGACGGGGGGGGCGAGGGAGGGGCGCAGGAGCGGGGGGGGAGGGTGGATGGGGGGGCGGGGGGAGGAGGAGGAGGGGGGAGGAGGGAGGAGGGGGGGATGATGCTGGGGGGGCGAAGGGAAAGGGAGGGGAGGGGGGGGGTCGGAGGGAAAGGAGGAGAGGAGAGGAGCGATTGGATGAGGGGGGGGGTGGACGGAGGAAGGAGGAGGGTTGGGGGCGGAGGGGCGATGTGGGAGGATTGAGGAGTTGAAGGATGGGGAGTTCCTCCTGGTACTCGTTCTCGCTTGCTCGCAGAGCGAGGCGGTCAACCAGGTGGAGTCGAAGGCCAAGGAATGCGCCGTGGTCGCGCTGTACGCTGGCGCGGTGCAGCAGGGGAAGGAGGCGATCGCCAAGGCCTCCCAGGTGATGTTCCGGGGCCAGGCTGCCAAATCTTGGCACGGGATCAAGGCCGCCGACGCACCGAGGATCAGGGCCTCCCTGGCGATCGCCCAGAAGGCCATGGTCGGCCACAACCTCGCGCCGTCCAAGGTGCTCGGGAGCATCCTGACGGACTGTTTCAGGAAGGGGTTGCGCTCGCAGGTGGTCTCGCGCGTACCTGGTGCCGCGCAGAGTTGCGCTGGCAACTCTTTCCAGCGCTCGCTGGAGGATTCGGCTGCAAAGGGGGGCGCCCGCAACCTCTCAGAGGAAATGCGAGGTCGTCTTGAGCCAACTCGCCCTCGCCTTCGTCATCCTGCTCCGCCTCCTCCTCCTCCTCTTTCCCCTCGCTCCCCTCTTGCTCCCCTTTCACCTCCCACTTCTATTTGTTAACTTCGCTGACCCTTGCGTTGCCGAAAGTGCAGCGCTCTTCGCGCCGACGCCCACTGCGCGCAACGATGGGCGCGCCAGCTCACGTTTTTTGCCCAACACGCTCGCGTGCGCTGCATCACCTCACATTGCTGTCAACGGGCGCCCTTGAAGCTGGGGCGTTGCCTAGCTGAGCAGTTCGTCGTTACTGTCGTCGTTGCCGTCGTCGTCGTCCACGTCCTTGTCATCGTCGTCGTCATCGCTGTCGTCATCCTGGCCATTATCATCGTGTATTCATATCGTTTCATCGGCCCTGCATGTTGTCGTGGCGCTGGAGGAGTTCCAAGCTTCCCGCTCCACGCTATGAACCGTCGCAGTTGGCAGACGGAATTGTATGTATCCCATGGTCTTGCTCGCAGGCTTGCCGAAGACGGTGCAAGGACCCGCGCGTGGTACCAAAGCCTCGTGGGTGCCCTATGTCAGGGTAAGCACCCAATGAGAGCAGGTGCCAGTGCGGACTTCGTACCTGTGCGATATCAGAGAATCCTGCCTTCTCGAACAATAGAATGATGTACACATGTATACATACATATTTCCATACGCGCTTCTCCGAGGGAGTAGAGCTCAGAGCCGACTAACTGAAGCCGTCCGCATTTGTTTTTGCCGTTTCGCTGGAGACATCTTCAAAATTTTGAAAATCGGTGGCACCCCTCACGCAGATCGTGGTGTCAGGGTCCACAAACATAGCGTTTTTCAATCATTTAAACATAAGCCCTTCAAAACACAATGGATTTCAATGAGTTCGGGCTGGAAATATTAAAACAGCAGTTTCGCTTGAAACATCCTTAACAACATTTTACCCGAAGTGTTCTCCATACTCGCAAGACACGTATCCCTCATCGCAAGGTGTGGTAAGATAAACTGCGAACCACGCAGGCTCCCAAATTGCAAGTTGCGGTAACCCCACCGGTGCACCATACACGTGTCCTTGATCGCAAGGTGTGGCAACCCCATTGGTGAATCCTAGGAAGACCCATGCTCGCCCAACCCCGCCCGTGCATCCAAGTGCTGTAAGCCCAACTGCGAACCCCGAGCGCCCCCTAATCATAAGGCGTGGTAGCCCCACCCGTGCACCCTACAAATCTCCTTAATAGGAAGGTGTGGTAACTTCATAAGTGATCCCAATACATCTTCAAATTCGCAACTCCTGGTAATCGCAACTGTTAGCACCACGCGCCCCCTGACCGCAAGGTGCGGTACCCCCTTCCAGTGACCACTACACGTATTCCTAATCGCAAGGCGTGGCACCCCCACTTATGAAACCCACGCGTTTCCTTACAAGGCTTGGTAGCCACACCAGTCATCTCCCAATGGGCCCCTTTAGAATTGCCACGTCCCCCTGTTCTGGGTTACATCATGTATCTTGTTTTGTATGAGGCTGGGCACGCACGTGCCATTTGTTCAGATTCACACATACATACATGCATACATATATAAACACACGCACACATAAGCCCCGCGATTGCGGATACGAATGAGGGCGCTCGCCATCATCATCATCACCACCACCACCATCATTATCATCATCATCCGCATCACCCTCATCATCATCACCACCACCTTCATCATGATCAACATCATCATCAACATCATCATCAACATCATCATCAATAGCATCCTCATCATCATCCCACTCATCATCAGCATCATCATCATCATCGTGATCGTCAGCATGATCATCATCATGATCGGCATCGTTTTCATCATCACCATCATCACCATGATGATCAGCATGATCATCTTCATGACCATCATGATCATCACGATCATCATGATCATCATCGTCATCGTCATCATCGTCATCGCCATCATCATCCTCATCATCATCAGGAACCATCAGTAAACATTACCATCATCATCATCATCATCATAATCATCCTCATCATCATCATCGTCGTCATCGTGATAGTCATCGTCATCATCATCATCATCATCATCATCATCCTTATCATCATCACCATCATCATCATCATCATCATGGCACGCCGTCCAAGTAGCGCACGCCGTCCGAGTTGCGCACGCCGTCCGAGCTGCCCACGGGGGGGGGGGCGCGGGGGGGGGGGGGTCGCGGGGGGGCGGGTCGCGGGGCGGGGAGGGTAGCGGGGCGGGTCGCGGGGGGGCGGGTCGCGGGGCGGGTCGCGGGGCGGACGACGAACAACAACAACAACAAGAAACACAATAATCCGCACCGCAGAAGCCCGCCACAGCCACGCACCCAGGGACAATGAATGACCTCTCGGCGCCCTCACTCTGACTATTTATACATTGTCGTCGCGCTCGTCGTCGTATTCGTCTTCGTTTTCGTCCTCGTCGTTCTCGTCCTCGCCGTCCTCGTCGTCGTCCTCGCCCTCGTCCTCGTCGTCGTCGGCGTTCTAGACGTCGTCGTCGTCATCGCCATCCTTTGTTTCACAATACTGCGAGTGGCGCGTCCAATTTTCTAATTGGTTCCGGTATCGCTGCCCTGCCTCATGCACTTCTGTTCGAAACAGCGTACAGAAGAAACAAGAATACCCTGGCGACGTACCCAACCCTTGCGCAACAAGTGGCCAGAGCACTTGGACAGAATTGTCAGGCATGAGCGCGTGGTAAGGACTGCCATTTGTTGCGGAATCTACGTGGGATGAGCACATGGCCCCCCAGCATCCCTCGAAAGCGGCGACAGCTTCACAGATCGCAACCCCCTAGGATGGCGAGGTCGAATCTGGATTTGCGGCAAGTGCTCACAACGCTGGCTCGCCCAGCAGCCCTCGAAAAGGGCGACAGTCTCACAAGTCGCAGCCCCTCAGGATGGCGAGGTCTAATCTGAATCCGCGGCAAGTGCCCACTATGCTGGCTCCCCCAGCAGCCCTCGCAAGTGGCGACAGCCTCACAGATCGCAGCCCCCCAGGATGGCGAGGTCCCATCTGAGTCCGCGGCAAGTACGCACTATGCTGGCTCCCCCAGCAGCCCTCGAATGTGGCGACAGTCTCACAGATCGCAGCCCCCCAGGATGGCGAGGTCCCATCTGAGTCCGCGGCAAGTGCCCACTGTGCTGGCCCGCCCAGCAGCCTTCGAAAGTGGCGACAGTCTCACAGATCGCAGCCCCGTAGGATGGCGAGGCCCCATCTGAGTCCGCGGCAAGTACCCACTATGCCTGCTCCCCCAGCAGCCTTCGAAAGGGGCGACAGTCTCACAGATCGCAGCCCCCCAAGATGGCGAGGTCCCATCTAAGCCCGCGGCAATTACCCACTATGCTGGCTGCCCCAGCAGTCTTCGAATGTGGCAACACGGTCACCGATCGCAGCCCCCCAGGACGGCGAGCTCCCATCTGAGTCTGCGGCAAGTACTCACTATGGTGGCTCCCCACAGCAACCCTCGAAAGTGGCGACAGCCTCACAGATCGCAGCCCCCCCGGATGGCGAGGTCCCATCTGAGTCCGCGGCAAGTACCCACTGCGCTGGCTCCCCCAGCAGCCCTCGAAAGTGGCGACAGTCTCACAGATCGCAGCCCCCCAGGATGGCGAGGTCCCATCTGAGTCCGCGGCAAGTGCCCACTGTGCTGGCCCGCCCAGCAGCCTTCGAAAGTGGCGACAGCCTCACAGATCGCAGCCCCCCCGGATGGCGAGGTCCCATCTGAGTCCGCGGCGGGTACCCATTATGCTGGCTGCCCCAGCAGCCCTCGAAAGCGGCGACAGCCTCACCGATCGCAGCCCCCCAGGATGGCGAGGTCCCATCCGAGTCCGCGGCGGGCGCCCACTATGCAGGCTCCCCCATCAGCCCTCGAAAGTGGCGACAGGCTCACGGATCCCAGCCCCCCAGGATGAGAGGAGGGGATAGGCGAGGAGGAGGGGGGGGGGGCCGGGAGGCATGGAGACCGCAGTGCTCCATTCAAAACAAGGACCCAACAGAGGGTTGGAAAAACATATATGTTCGGTGCAGCTTGCAGTTCCGATATCGGAACAGAGTCCCACCAGCCCTCTGGGCGTAGGTGGTCTACAGCGGCTCCTCTCTTCCAACCCCCTTTTTCCCTTTCCTGGGCGTGGACGGGACGGGGCGCGGGTAGTCAGAGCGTCCAAGATGACTCAAGACGGCTCCAAGAGCGCCTCAGAGAGTCCAAGATGGCCTCGAAGATG